CACAATCTAACTGTGGTTTTGTTTTCAAGCTTAGAGGCTGTGGTCTGTTTTTAAAATCTCAGTAAAGAATAGATGTCTTCTCTCATCACCTTACCTACAAGTGTCCTCATCATATGTAAGTTATTTAAAGATATAAACCCACAAATACACCACATTACAATAGGAACAAAAATTAATGGGGTTGTTGTTTTAATTAAATGATTCTGGGTTTTGTTATTTTTAGGTAGGACTGGGGCAATTGGAGAGTTGGTCAAAGGGTAGGAATTTGCGTTTAGAAGATGAATAAGTTTTGGAGCTCGAAGGCACAGCATAGTGATTGCAATCAACAGTGCTGTATTATGTACTTCAGAGTTGCTGAGAGACTTGATATTCAATGTTCACATCACACACACAAAACGATAATTATGTGAGGCGAAGGCTAGCCAACACTATGGTGGTCATCATATTGCAGTATATAAATGTGTTAAACCCACACACTGTATACCTTAAACTTACACAATGTTATAGGTTGTTTCTATCTCAATAAAAAGAAAAGTAAAAAAGAAAACAAACGCCCTGGCCGGTTTGGCTCAGTGGATAGAGCGTCGGCCTTCGGACTGAAGGGTCCCAGGTTCGATTCCGGTCAAGGGCATGTACCTTGGCTGCAGGCACATCCCCAGTGGGGAGTGTGCAGGAGGCAGCTGATGGATGTTTCTCTCTCATCGAAGTTTCTAACTCTCTGTCCCTCTCCCTTCCTCTCTGTAAAAAATCAATAAAATATATTTAAAAAAAAAAAAAAGAAAAAAAAAGAAAACAAACAACCCAATGATATTTATTTAATATATCCTAGCTAATGAAGAGGGGATATGCAAATTGACCATCACACCATCACAAAGAGGCTGCGCCCACAGCAGAGTTGGGGTTTCTGTAACACAAGAGAGCTGCACCCACAGCACAGGCTGAGTTCCCGTAACGAGCCTTAATGAGCAATCAGCAGGGACCTGAGGCTGTGTGGCACTGGGCTGAGACAGAGGACCTGAGGCTGCGCCCCTCCCCCGCCCCCACCCAGTGGGGCTTGACAGGGGACCTCAAGGTGCACTCCCCTCCCCGGTGCTGGGCTGGGGGACCTTAGGCTGCTCCCCCTGCCCCAGGCCTGGGGACCTGAGGCGGCGCCCCCCACCCTGGCGCCGGGGGACCTGAGGCTCTGCCCCCCACCAGGTGGGACTTGATGGGAGCCCTGAAGCTGCACCCCCCACCTGGTGCCAGGCTGGGGGACCTGAGGCTGCACCCCTTGCCTGGTGGGGCTTGACAGGGGATCTCAGACCATGCCCCCCACCCAGCGGGGCTTGACGGGGGAGCTCAAGGCATGCTCCCCGCCCGGCGGGGCTTTATGGGTGATCTCAGGCCGCATCCCCCACCCGGCGGGGTTTGACGGGGGACCTCAAGGTGCGCCCTTCGCCCTGACCCTGGCTGGGGGACCTCAAGCCATGACCCCTGTCCGGCAGGGCTTGACAAGGGTGGGGCCAGCTGGGTCTGAATCTTGCCCAATGGGGGTGGGGCCGGCTGGGCCTGGGTCTCGTGCAATTTTGAGGTGCTGTGGTTGGGCGGGGACTTGACTCTATATCCCGTGGCGTACCCCAGACTCTGACAGGAGAAAGATTTTCATATACATTTTACTAATTTTCTTTCATCTCTGACACTTCTATTATAGAGAAAGGGAAAATAGCAATATTAACATATTTCCTCTAATTAATCTCCTTTTAATGTGCATGAATTTCATGCACCGGACCACTAATTATATAATTTGCTTGATTTGTGATATGTTTTTATAAGCCAGTGGACCTTTAAAATTTTTTTTCTAAAATTTTAGTAAAGCCAATATCACTTAAATGTGGAACTGAATCATTTAAAATTTAAATACCAATTTTGAAAAGCAAACTAGAGTCTTTATCACAATTACAAATGAATGAATGAATGAATGAATGAATGAATGAATGAGATGTCTTTGTCCAGCATAGGTGAAAGCAGTCATTTAGCTCAATGTAGAAGGATAAATCCTGTGCGACCCGTCACATCGGGAGTTTCTTGCAATAGCACTGCAGTCTTCTCAGACAGGTATCAAGATATCTAAAGCAGGAATACGGCGGTGATTCTTTCCCGCCCCCACCACCCTATCCCCACCCCAGGTGCAGGAGCTGCCCTGTTTCTGAGTCTCTGGGGGAGGTGGGGTGCTTATCCCTAGAGGGGGGCGGGCAGGTGTGGGAGGAGAATGGAACCAGATATTCTGAGAAGGTACAACTTTCTGAGCAGGCCAATTTAAGTGATTTTACAACTATAAAGGATATTAAACACACAAGTTTCAATCCAGACCCAAATTACTGTGGTGCTCTTGGTGTGAATGTTTTTCCATTACTTCAACATTTTCAGAAATTCCACATCTGGCTGTGTCAGAAAATTCAAGAATTCCCAGAAAGGCCTTTGCCACCCTGGAAGGAGCCCCTCCTTCCACTGCCCAGGTAAGGAGGCCTGGAGGCAGAGGGGCTTCCCGAATGGGGCAGACCTGGTAACTGCGTCCCCGCCTCCCACCCAGAGCTTCCTCTCTGGCCTGGCCACCCCAGGCTCAGAGCTCCCTGGGCTGGTGGCCCTTCTCCACAGGACACATGGCCTTCCATGGACTCCCCATTGCTCAGGGCAGATCCCAGGCTTGTCAACTCCTGGGTAGGTTCTGCTTGGAAAGGGGCGGTGAAAGTGAGAGGGTGGCTTTTTCCTGCTCCAGCCTGACTCTGAGCTCAGGCTGAGGAAGGGGGTACCTCTGGGAACCAGGAAGGCCCAGGGTGAGGGAGCACAGAGGGACCAGGGCACGGCTGTGGGGGTGGAGACAAAGGGGTCTACAGGGACCATTGAGCCAAGGTCACCCAGAGAGCTGGGGCACCTGGGCTGAAGTGGCAGTGACAACTCCCACAGGAAGTGCACATACAGATGGTCTGTTCTTCAGCTGCAGCCCAAACAGGGGCGTCAGCTGCCAGCATGGCAATGAGCCAGAAGAGGTAACAGCAGACAGTGGTGGCTACCAGCGTGGTGATGATCTCTTGGCGGTTGGATGCCTTGTTGCTGATGAGGCCCCAAAAAGTGAAGATGGTGATGGGTGCCTTGTTGCTGATGAGGCCCCAGAAAGTGATGAAGATGATGACCTGAGAGCGAAGGAGTGTACCGTTGTGGTGGGGCGTGGGGCTCCCAGAATGGTGCCCGGCCAGCTGCAGATCTGGCTGTGATCCTTAATTCATATCTTTAACAAATATTTATTGGCACATTGCAAGGCAATTGAAAGATAGCCTGATTAAAACAAAGTCTTCCTGTTTTTGGAGCTTGTAGGTTAGTAAAGTAGAAAGACTAGAAACAAAAATATCCTATCTAATAAAAGAGAAACATGGTAATTAGCCATACATCCACTACCCTTCCCATTGGCTAATCAGGGCAATATGCAAATTAACTGCCAGCCAAGATGGCGGCCAGCAGCCAGGCAGCTTGAAGCGAACATGAGGCTTGCTTGCTTCAGTGACGGAGGAAACCAACGTTCCCCGCCTACCGCTGCCGGCCTCTGAGCTTGCAGTTTGAAACATTGTTACAAATATAGAAGCTAAACAAAACCCCAGAAACCTGCTTTCAGCCAGCCGGGATCTCAGAGCTGGAGTTGAAACAGTGTTTTGATTATAGAACCCAAACAAACCAGATACCTGCTTTCAGCAGCAGAGGCCTAAGAGTTGGAGCCAAGCCTCAGAGCTAAAGCTGGCCCAGAATAAAAAAAGAAAAAAGAAAAAAACGGAGCGGTTGGGAGCTTCAGTCACCTGGCAGCCTGAAAACAGCCCTCAGCTCCTCACCCAGACTGGCCAGGCACCCCAGTGGGGACCCCACCCTGAAGGGTGTGTGACCAGCTGCAAACAGCCATCATCCCCTCATCCAGGCTGGCCAGGAACCCCAGTGGGGACCCCCACCCTGATCCAGGACACCCTTCAGGGCAAACCTGCCGGCCCCCACCCGTGCACCAGGCCTCTATCCTATATAGTAAAAGGGTAATATGCCTCCCAGCACCAGGATCAGCGTGACAGGGGGCAGCGCCCAAACCCCCAATCGCCCTGCAGCTCTGTGTGTGACAGGGGGCGGGGCCACAACCTCCCTATCCGCCCTGCTCTGTTCCTGACAGGGGAAGGCACCCCAACCCCCTGATCAGCACTACTCTGTGCCTGATAAGGGGGAGCTCCCCAACCCCCTGATCGCCCTGCGGCTCTATGTGTGACAGGGTGCGGCACCCCAACCCCCTGATCGGCCCTGCTCTGTGTGTGACAGGGTGCGGCGCCCCAACCCCCGCCCCCCCCGCCCCCCTGCCCCACGGGCCCTGCTCTGTGTGTGACAGGGTAGAGCTATAACCTCCCCATTGGCCCTGCCCTGAGTGTGACAAGGGGCGGTGCCCCAACCCCCCAATCGGCCCTACCCTGAGCTTGACTGAGAGTGGCATCGCAACCTCCTGATCCGCCCTGCTCTGTGCATGACAGGGGGCGGCGCCCCAACTCCCCAATCAGCCCTGCTCTGAGCCCGAACAGGGGCTGCACCTAGGGATTGGGCCTGCCCTCTGCCACCTGGGAGCAGGCCTAAGCCAGCAGGTCATCATCTCCTGAGGGGTCCCAGACTGCGAGAGGGCACAGGCCGGGCTGAGGGACCCCCTCACCCCCCGGTGCACAAATTTTTGTGCAATGGGCCTCTAATATATATATATATATATATATATATATATATATATATATATATATATATATATATGGCCCTAACCGGTTTGGCTCAGTGGATAGAGCGTCGGCCTGCAGACTGAAGGGTCCTAGGTTCAATTCCGGTCAAGGCATGTACCTTGGTTGGGGCACATCCCCAGTAGGAGGTGTGCAGGAGGCAGCTGATCGATGTTTCTCTCTCAGCGATGTTTATCTCTCTATCCCTCTCCCTTCCTCTCTGTAAAAAATCAATAAAAAAGGGCAGGAGAGAAACATTGCTTTTCCTCAAATGAGGCTGCAAGAGATTTTGGGGGTGCTGTTCAAGATTATTTTAAGTGGAAGGCTGACATGACCAACTTTGATGTGGAGGTGCTTTTGAATATCCATGATAATGAAGTCATTGTGGGCATCGCATTGACAGAAGAGAGTCTCCACCGAAGAAATATCACACATTTTGGACCTACAACTCTAAGACCTACTCTTGCTTATGGGATGCTCCGGCTCTGTGCTCCTCAACCTTCTGATATAGTAGTTGATATGATGTGTGGAACAGGGGCAATACCAATAGAAGGGGCTACTGAATGGTCTAACTGCTTTCATATTGCTGGTGATAATAATCCACTGGCTGTGAATAGAGCAGCAAATAACATCTCATCTTTACTGACCAAGAGCCAAATTAACGAAGGCAAATTGTCCTGGGGCTTGCCCATAGATGCTATTCAGTGGGATATCTGCAATCTGCCATTAAGAACTGGCTCTGTGGACATTATTGTAACAGACATACCATTTTGGAAAAAAGGATGGACTCCAAGAAAAGAAACTGGAACCTTTACCCAGCTTGCCTATGGGAGATGAGCCATATCTGTAAACCAGGGACAGGCCGAGCTGCACTACTTACTTAGGAGAAGAAATGCTGTACAAAGGCATTATCTGGAATGGAACATGTATGGTGGAAAGTGCACACTGTCTGGGTGAACATAGGTGGTCTTCCTGTTGCAGTTTACCTTCTGAACTGTACACCTCAAGCTTTTGTTCATCCTTCAGGACAGGATAAAGAGGAACTTCTACGTGCAAAGAATGATTAATAGTATTTGTGCTTCCTGACACTGGAAATGCCAGAATTTTCTTGCTTTAAGAGAAAAATAGTATTTAGTATTAACAAAAGCAGTTTTCTGTTTAAGTTGGTCTAAAGCTCTTCACCCAGGTTAGCAGGTGTGAATGTAACGTCATGGAATTGAAAGTCTTATGAGAGAAGAACATTTCTTCCTTTGCAGCTGCTGTGAAGAGGTAGCTGGGCAATTGGTACTTTTCCTAAAATGCACTTGAGATTTGGGTTTACATTTTTTTTCAGGCTTTGTACCAGTTCCTGTTTTCCACTGTAGCCACCATGGCCAAATGGAAAAGCAGAGAACATAATCATAGCATCTTAGGCAACATATATACTGCCTATGTACTTCTGCTATTTAGTTGCTCAAGTTCTCTTTACATCAACCTTAAAAAAGGAATTATTACATTTTGTGAAAGTGTTTGCCCCATGATGAGATGAAATCTAACAAGACCTATTGAAAAGTTTACCATCTGCCTTAAAAATTAAAACATGCATGTTATTCAGGTTAATACATAGAGGACTAGGATTTAGCAAAGGAATTAAAAAGATACATTTTTATTTGTAAATAGTAGCAAATACATTAATTACGAGATGAAGAATGGGACCAACAAGTCCAATTTAAAGATTTTATTTTTCAGCATACAAAAGTGGTATTGCTTTTGAAAGTCAAACATAAACCTGTCAAAATATTTTTGGTTTCTTAAAAGGACTGATTTATCTTTGAATTAAAAACTTCACCTGAAAAAAAAATCAATAAAAATATATATTTAAAATCTATCTATCTATCTGTAATTGCAAATTGTATTTTTCCAAAGGAAATAGAATTTGCGTTTTTTTCAGAAGGAAAAAAACTGGTTTCTTGAAAGAGAGACTAACAGGGGCCTGTAGACACAGATGTAGACACAGACTCTGAGCTCAGCATGAGAGGAGTTATTGTGGCAGAGGGTGGGGTGAGCTTGGTGGCAGATGGAAACTCTGACAGACACATTATGAGTAATGATCACTGAATTACTCAGAGAGCTTCAGTGTTTTGGTCCAGTTGTTGGTATATTAATAATTTTCTTGTTCATGAATGTGCCATTGCATGAAAGTTTAGTATTTTGCACCCGGCTGTGTTCTCTGGACTGCAGATTGAGAGTGCTGTGATGAAAGGAAATGTATTCCATTTCTTTCCACTTTTCTGGGGTTAGTACAGTTATATGTACAGTTATATGGCCTCTTTATTCTACCAACTGAATAAAGAACTATTTCTTTGACTTCACCTCGTTGGGAAAGACCCCTGGGTGACATTATTTCACTCAGGGATTTTGTACTCCCAGCATCTAACTGTGTGTCTGTCATAAGTGCTCAGTAAATATTTGTGGAAGAGTGAATAAAAAACCAAGTGAATAAATAATTTTTTTACTACATGTATGTCTATTTTCATGTCCAGTTAAACCACTCATTTAAGCATTCAATCATTCAACAGCTAATCATTGAAAACATGCTGCCTGCCAGGCACTGTGTCTGTCCTGGGGGTACAAAGGTGAACAGAAACAGACAAGACCTAGGCCTTGTGGAGCTTATAGTCTCTATCAAGTATTACAAAAGTCAGAGGTAGAAAATTGATCAAGCATGTATGTACTATATTTTCTTTATTGTCAGGAGAGAAGGGAAATGGAGCGTGGGTGGGGAGGTGAGAGGGAGGGAAAATAGGGATCCGAATGAAGCTGAAATTATGCCCCAACTCAGAACATCCCACCAATAGACATTCCAATGCCATGATCAAATAGAACTCCTGTTGCCGCCAAGATTCTATTACCAAAGCAGTGGCCCTCTTTGGGACTACCAGCAAAATTTCTTAAACCCTTGCCATTTTCTGCAGGAAACTCTAGCAACCACTCCACGCTGAAGGAGGGTGGAGGCTACCCAAACTCACTTGTCTTTTTTGGCAGTTAACTAGCTCAGCAACTTTCATACAAGATATGATTGTTACAGAACAGAAAGAGTTCGTTCATCTTGCGCTAGCAAAGCCAAACAGTAAACACTAAGAATTGCAGTGGAGAAAGATTGGTTATTTTATTATGAACTAGAAGCCCGGTGCATGAATTTGTGCACGGGTGGGGTCCCTTGGCCTGGCCAGTGATCGAGGCCAATGCGGGGGGGCAAAGGGGGGGGCAGCCTGCTGGGGGGAGGGACCGAGGGAGGTTAGCTCCAGCAGCAAGCTGACCAATGGCCAATTCCACAAGGAATTGGGCTCCCTCCTCCCTCCTGTCTGGGTCTGGGGTGTGGGTGAACCAGATTCGGGGCTGTCAGGGCCCCAGCAGCAAGATCTGGGTCAGTGTGCATCATAGCTATGGCTGGTCATCTGGTCATTCCAGTTGTTTTGGTCATTTGGTCATAATGGTTGCTTAGGCTTTTATATATAGAGTTGGCACCACCCAGGAGAAAAGGAAGCTGATGCTCAAAGTCCACACTCTCTGATCCAGGGTTCAGGCAAGGATTTAAAGCATTTCAGTGGAACACTATGGTATGTGGAAGCATTGGCGAGGCAAGTTTTATTGGAGGACCTTGGAGCTTGGCCATTTATGGTAAGGAGCACCAACACAGGGTCTTTCTGGACAACCAGACCCTCTGCTTCTGAAAGTGTTCTGGTGTTCAAGGTCTAGTTATACCCTAGGCCAGCGGTTCTCAACCTGTGGGTCATGACCCCTTTGGCGGTGGAACGACCCTTTCACAGGGGTCACCTAAGACCATCTTGCATATTAGATATTTACATTACGATTCATAACAGTAGCAACATTACAGTTATGAAATAGCAACGAAAATAATTTTATGGTTGGGTCACAACATGAGGAACTGTATTTAAAGGGCCAAAAGGTTGAGAACCACTGCTAGTCCTTTGATTCCATGTGTGGGGGAGTGTGGGTGGTGAAGTGAGGGGTGGTGAAGCAAGACTTTGTTTCCTGGCTGCTGGAGATCAAAGATCTCTCCTCTGCAGATGCTTTAGCTGCATGACTTGAAGTTTTGGTCTGTTGTCTCCAAAAAGCAACTCAGTGTTTCATTAAACAGAATAGCAACATTTGAGCATTACATGATTCTGAGGTTACATGATTATAAGTGTCAGATTTGGTTGGGGGATGTGGGGGATATAAACTCCTCATTCCTCCAAAAGGTGACCTATATTGCTCCTGGTCCTCCCTTAAAACTTTCTGTGGTAAAAGTTATCAAACTGGCAGTTAGGGGCGATCAGGCAGGCAGGCAGAGGCAGTTGAGGTCTGGAGAGAGAAGCAGGGTCTGATCTGCAGCCTTTGTGGCAGCTGTTGATCCGCCCTTGCCTCTCTCTCTCCCAGGGCCTCAACAGCAGCCTTGCCTCTTTCTCTCTCCCCAAGAGGTCAGCAGTTCAGTCCACTAGCCAGCAGCCTGGAGCAGCTGCTGACCAGCCCTGCCTCTCCGATCAGGCCCTGAGATAGGCTCGGAGATGCTGACTGGCATAGAAACTGACCATTGAGAACCAAATCTGGGTGAATTGCAAGGAGCCAATCGCTGCCTAGAAGGAGGAGCTTTTGATGCTGACTGGCATAGAATCTGACCAGTCTCTTTCTTTTTTAATTGAATTTGTTGGGGTGATATTGGTTAATAAAATTTTCAATATTGTTAAAAAATATTTTAACTTGGAGAAGGCCCAAGGCAGCGGCTTGCATTGCTTCACAGCTGAGCCTCTTCGTGGCTCCTGCTGTGTGGCCTCAGGCAGAGGCTGAATTAGCACCTCCTTAGATCCAGGAGCCACTGTACCCAGTGGTCAGAGGGGGACCATCCAGATTGCAACTCCTCAGATCCATAAGGGACACACTCAGGGAGCAGACTCAGTGAGCACCAAAGCCCCACTGAAGCAAGTCTTGCCCCAGAAGGGTGTCTTCAGCACAGAAGTTCTCCCACTTCAGACACAGCTGATTCTCACAGCCAATTGGCCTGGAGGTCAATTCCTCCCAGTGAACCTACAACAACCAAGGCACCAAGAGTGCACCAAGAGTGTCCACCTCAGGTAACTGGGGAGGCTGAGCCACTGGGCCCTACAGGACACCTGGAGCGCAGGGCCACTCTATCAACACAGGGAAGCAGCCAAAATGCAGAGACAAAGAAACAGGTCACAAATGGCAGAAATGGAGGAAAGCAAACGATTGGACATAGAGTTCAAGGCCACGTTTATAAGGTTTTTCAAGAATTTTATGGAAACCACCGATAAATTTAATGAATCCCTCAATAAGTATAGTGAGACCATGGAGGACATGAAAAAGGACCAACTAGAAATTAAGCATACACTGACTGAAATAAAGAATAATTTACAGAGATACAACAGCAAACAAGAGGATCCCAAGAATCAAGTCAAAGATTTGAAATACAAAGAAACAAAAAATACCCAACCGAAAAAGAAAAAAGAAAAGAGATTCCAAAAATATGAAGATAGTGTAAGGAACCTCTGGGACAACTTCAAGCGTACCAACATCAGAATTATAGGGGTACCAGAAGGAGAGAGAAGGCGAGATATTGAAAACCTTTTTGAAGAAATAATGACAGAAAACTTCCCCTACCTGGTGAAAGAAATGGACTTACAAGTCCAGGAAGCGCAGAGAACCCCAAACAAAAGGAATCCAAAGAGGACTACACCAAGACACATCATAATTAAAATGCCAAGAGCAAAAGATAAAGAGAGAATCTTAAAAGCAGCAAGAGAAAGACAGTCAGTTACCTACAAGGGAGTACCCATACGACTGTCAGCTGATTTCTCAACAGAAACCATGCAGGTCAGAAGAGAGTGGCAAGAAATATTCAAAGTGATGAATAGCAAGAACCTGCAACCAAGATTACTTTATCCAGCAAAGCTATCATTCAGAATAGAAGGTCAGATAAAGAGCTTCACGGATAAGAAAAGGCTAAAGGAGTTCATCACCACCAAACCAGCATTATATGAAATGCTG